GAGAAGGGGGGTATCTCAGAATATAAGTCACCAATTTAAGAAACTGATTATGAGGGAATTTGAGAGGATGTAATTTTGGTATTGAAAGGGAAAACATTTTCATAAAAGATGACATTTCTTGATATGAAAATATTGTGATTTTCAAGGTTATAAAGAATGTAACCTTTAGTACCTTCTTGATATCCAAGGAAAACAACTTTTTTGGCTCTAGGGGCAAATTTTGTTATATGTGCTTGAAGAGATGTGGCATAAGATAAACAACCAAACACTTTTAGATGGATTAGTGATGGTGGCTGTTTGAATATGAGTTCATAAGGACATTTTGAATGAAGAAGAGGAGAGGGTAGTTTATTAATAATGTGGACAACATGTTGAATGCAAAAATTCCATAGAGTTAGGGAAACATTGGAATGGAAAAAGATGGATCTAGCTACATTAAGTACATGCTGGTGTTTTCTTTCAACCACCCCATTTTTTTGGGGTGTCTCAACACATGTCTTTTGATGGATTATGCCTTTTGAAAGAAAAAAAATCAGATAAAGCTATGAACTCTGTTCCATTATCAGATCTCAGACATTTTAGGGTTGTTTGAAACTAGTTTTCAATATAGGCTATAAAATTGATGAGGCTTGTTTTAGTTTGGTCTTTAGTTTTAAGAAATATAACCCAAGTATGTCTTGAGTAATCATCCACAAGAGTTAAGAAATATTTATGGCCTGAAGTAGAAATGGTGGAATATGGACCCCATAAGTCAGGATATAGAATATTGAAAGGAACAGAAGACATAGAAGTACTATTAGGAAATGGAAGTTTTCTTTGTTTATCAAAGTGACAAGAGTCACAAGTTACATTGTAATTGTTACATGTAATGAAAGGAAAAAACTTAGAAACAGTTTGTAAGCCTATATTGGAAATATGACCTAAGCGCAAATGCCACAAATTACAAGAAGTATGAGTAGTAGATTTATTTGTAAAAAAATGAGGAGGAGTGGAATCAAGCACATAGAGCCCTCTGTGCAAGTTAGCTATACCAATCATTTCCTTGAAACGATTCTGCATAATGTGGCAAGCATTAACATTGAAATGAATAAAACGTTGATTATGATCAATAAGCTTTGCTACAGAGATCAGGTTAACCTGAAAGCTAGGCACATAAAAAACATTGTGTATGGTTAAGGAAGGTGATATGATAACAATGCCAGATATAGAAGCAAGAACTTGTGAACCATCAGGCATATTTACAGGTATAGGAACTATAGATTTATGATCAGTAAAAGAGGAAAGATTGAAAGAAAAATGATCAGTGGCACCAGTATCTAGGATCTAAAGGAAGGGATTCTTACCAGCAACATTAGAGGAATGAGAATTCAGGACAAAATGTGAGGTTGACACTGAGTTAGATGCAAGGTTGGGCTTGGATTGTTGAAGTAATGCTAGGATGCTTTCATACTGGTCTTTAGTGAAACCAAATGAGGCTGCATTGGAGCTCGCAGGAGAAGACTCAAAAGCATTGTAAACAGATGCAGCAGGTGAAGAAGATTGAGGATTCCCTTGATTCTTTCCCTTAGGTTGATAACCTAGTGAAAATCCATGCTTAAGAAAGCATGTCTCAATCGTATGATTCGTCCTGTTACAATGTGTGCACAATCTGGCATTTCCCCTTGCAGCATTAGAACCTTGATACTTAGCACGATAATTGTTATTACCAGATTTAGCACCAGAATTTCCTGAGTGTGTTTGAACCTGAAGAGCGGAGACTTCTTCAGTGGAATCTGTAGATGAAACAATACCAGCAGCAAAACTATCCATTTCTCTTTCTTGCTGAATAACAAGTGAAAAAACTTTCTCAATATTGGGGAGAGGATTCATCATCATAATTTGGGACTTTGAGTGTGCAAATTTTTCTGATAATCCTTTGAGAAAACAAATGATATAATCTTGTCCCTACATGTCTTAACAGACGCAATAGCACCACAAGAACATGGAATCGTACAAGAACAAACATGAATCAGTTGATAGTTCTCTAATTTATCCCACATGACATTCAATTGCGTGAAATAGTTAGAAACATCAAGCATACCTTGACGAAACTTGTACATGTCCTCTTAAATATCAGAAATGCGGAAGATGTCGCCATGAGAAAACCTAACTTGTAGATTCTTCCATACACCGACAGTGTTATCAATCCAAAGGACAGATTTAGCTATAGATTCTGAAATCGATCGGTGAATCCACGCGAGCACCATGGTGTTGCAACGAATCCACAGAGCATACAACGGATCAGAGACGGGTGGCTTGGTGAGAGTTCCATCAATGAACTTCTCTTTGTTCTTGGAGATCAAAGCAATCTGCATTGAACGGGACCAGGTGTGGTAATTCTTATCAGTAAGAGACGGTGAAACAAGAACGAGCGCAGGACTCTCGTTCGGATGAAGGTAATATGGATTTGCAAAGTTGATTGCGAAATCGGCGTAGCTCTGATTTGCCATTGAAAGAAACAAGAAGATTAGATGAAGCTCGATGAAGGTAGAACAAAGAAATGATCAAAGAAGAGAGCTTCTGAAATAAGAATCAGGAAGAAAGAAAAGGGACAAATCAATGGCTATCAGAGCTTTTGAAGCTCTGGTACCATGTTGATTATGGCAAGAAAATTGTAACAAAATAATAAACTTGAGAAGAAGAGAAAATCTGTTATTCTATTATTTAATTGATAGTTACAAGATAAAGCTATATAAACAAATATTGATCTCAGTAGATAAAAAATAAGTAAACTAGCTAGACTATACACAAAATAAAATATAAAAGAATTGTGTACAATATGTATAATCTAATAGAATAAAATATAATCTAATAGAATAAAAGCTATCATTGTAAAATTCATTCCCATGCTAATACAAAGTGCTTACACCCTATAATACCATTCATGGTTATCGTGGACGTAAATTCACATGTATTTCTTGGGAACCGCGAATTGATTCATCGGTTTGCACTATTTTTGCGAATTAGTACACCTAAAATTAATTAAGAATTAACGATAAATGACGAATCAAAGAACCAAAGTTCTACTTCTAAGAAATTTAAACTTACTTTAAAAAGTCAGTGAGTGATTTGTTTTTAACTTTAATGAAGTAGTAAATCTTGGGGTCCACCCACAATTAAGTTTCTTTGTAGGTTTTTTTTGGATTATTAATTGACAATGCAATATTTATATATAAAAACTTAATAATTGAACTCAATCATTTTTAAACGTGAGACTTTTGTCTTTCAATTTTTTCATCAAATGTACCGATAACTGTCTATCTCTTTTCAAGTTAACCAATTTTTATTTATTAATATCAAATGTTTATATATTACACATATATAATAATTATTTTTTTAAATTAAATAAATAGAGAATTTATTATAATTAAATATATTTTGTTTTCGTAACGTACCAGTTATTTAATTTGAAGTACTGCAAATCTAAATTGCATATCAACTGGCTGGAGGTGATTTTTGTTTCTGTGTGTTAGGAAGATCTTAAAGTCACACATTGATTGGAGATAAAGCATTGAAAGAGTTTATATAGAGTGATGCTCCTCACCTTCACAATCGGTTTTATAAGGTGAAGCTAAGTCAAATTCTAAGTCTGTGGAAGATTGCTGTACTCATCTGCTGTCCGGAAAAATGCCAACGAACAAGGTAGAGGGATATGGCTCACAGTCTGCTGGTGCATTTGGAAATTCATAAGTGACATTGTTTTCAATACAGTTGAAGGAGACATAGAAGAACTCTAAAGACTAAATTCTGTCTAATTTTTATGAGTGGTTTAAGAACCTGGTGCTGTGTATTAAACTTCATAGTTGATTAGTGCTCTGTTTTCTACTTTTTTTTTTAAGGGTACCTCTAATACTCACATTTTAATTCAAGAGTTGCTTATCAAAATAGAATTTTGCATAACAAAAGAAAAGCGATGCTATAGTTATAATTTTATGTTATAGTAGTATTACCAATTATTTCTGGAAATTTATATCAGTTAAATACTAATTGTTTCATATTTACAATGTTCTAATTTTTATGAGAAACAATAAAATATATTCGAATTCATTTTATCCATTCTTCATGTTCTATCTTGAGTTTCTCTCTTTGTTGTTTGAAATTGAAGCTTTGAAGCTATTATTTGTCATAATATAATATTTTAGAAAATTAATTCAAATCAAATGAATCGAGGTTAGAATCACGAGCGAATCATTTTTTTTATAAGATTTCAAACACTTTCAAATTTGTCTTAAAGTTTCTAAGTATGAATATTTAGGATAATTCAGTCTTATATCAAATCTGCGCAAGATCGATGAAAACTCGAATGTAGCGAAAAATGTCTGAAATTTTAGTGAAAATGATGTATGTTTTTTGTTTCACAAAGTAGAGATTATTGATGAAACAATAACCTTTTACCAACATTTTATAAAAGGTTGTATTTTTGAATTCAAATAACAACTTCACTAATATATTTTATTATTATTTTGGAACACACATAATTATTATTATTGTTAATAATTTATAACATTCTAATGACCGAAGATCATCTAATTAAAAATAATAAATTGAATCTTATGTGTATTCGAATTCGCGATCTTACACTTAATATTTTTATACATCTGTCAACTAAATTGTCTTAATGAAATTGATATTATTATTTTTAATTAATATAGAATTACTTTATTGTTATATAGATGTCCTTTTAATTAATACATACTTTTTCAAAATTAATAAATCCAGTTTTTTAATTGAAATATATAGATGTCCTTTGATATACAATATTTTCTAGAATCCAACCAAACATTTGAATTCGAGTAATAAAGGAACTCATTCTAAAGAACGGATGAATTATTAAAACCACATTTGCTTAAGAATCAAAAAGACTTCCATTTTAAAAAGTTTACTTGGTCCCATATAAGGTTGCAAATCGGAATTTAGCGGGTTCTGGAAACTTCACTTTCTACTCCTCCTTTGTCATCACAATGCCTGCTGTTTATTATCAAGGTCTCCATGCACTGCTTCACTACATCTACACTGGCTGGACCCGGGTATAACTTCTTCGTGATATGTTATCAAAGCTAACCTTACACTTTGTGTTGGCTGATTTTTATTTAATTTGATGTACTGTTGTGTCTTTCTATATTGTAGATTCCACATGAACAACTAGATTTATTGAGGGCTTTAAATCTACATTTTCTAGTGATGCCACTGGAGAAGTAATGTGAAGAGGTTATGATAATTGTTTCAATGTTAAGTTGTGAACCTTCCCTTGACGGTATTTAAGAGTTGTCAGGTTAGTCTTCCTGTTGTAAGAAGCTTTGTGCAATTTGTTACTGATCAAGCTGTGGATCTTGGAGTCACTTGAGGAGTCAAACCCGATCAACAATTGGTTAAGGTTGAATTCAGTATTTTTCGCATTGCATCATGTAACTTGCTGTAAGATTGGCATTTCTGTTATGTTTCTTTAAATCACCATTTTTCTCAAGTCAGTTGTTATTCTTCCATGGGTTCCATAGACCACTTCAGCTGTGTCTCAGACTTTTTGAGTTTGTCACATCAATCACCTACGTAAAGCTTGAGAAACCTGAGTCTTATCAGGAGAAATAACCTGGATACATAGCGAGTATTCTGTTTTTTTACTTGAAATTTGAGACAGTAAGACGTCCAACTTATCAAATCATATTTCAAAGTACATACACCAGTTATGCATCATACATGTTAGATACAACATTAAAAGAATGTAGTTGTATGTAGTTAGAACCATGTTCATGTTGATTATATTTTCTCCATATTTAAAGTTTCTTATACTTCTAGATTAGGTAGTGTAAAATATGTTGTTGTTGTTGTGGTTGCTTAAATTACAATATGATGTTGGCTTGTAATTGCAGATCTGAAAACCGTTCTAAAGTTATACAATGATCTGAAAGTAAATGTAGCTTCAGTAGGGAAGCATCATCAATCTTAGGAGGAAAGCAATATCGGAACTGGTAACAATGGGGCCATAATCACTTAGCAAGCCGCTATTAGTAGCATTGATAATAATTTTTTATTAACTTTCTGCATCTATTATGAGTTCAACTTTTGTCATTTATGAATGCCAAATGGTTAGGTGTATTAGTTAGGTTCTGCTTGCAATTTTCAAAACTATATTGGTGCTTCAAGTATCGCCTCTATCTAAATCAACCCCATTCTCTGATATATTTGCACTTGGTGTTGTTATGTCTTTTGCATCCGGTCTTTCAAACACAAGCCTTAAGTATAACAAGTTCATGATTTTGTTAACCAATTGCAATTGACAGTGGTTGAATTTTGACTATGTAGAAGAGGTAATTTTAACAGAAGAAAACTTTGAAAAGGGTCTGATATTTCCACCATTCACAAATATCAGAAACTTTACAAATTTTCTATGTGTTGTTTAATTGCAGACATGAACCCGAATTTGTCATACAAGATAATTTTATTAGCTTCTGTTGAGATATGTCAATTCATAATGTTAATGATGCATAATTGTAGCCTCGAAAAGCACACTTCCTATTGAGGATCTCAGTCCTGAAGTAATTGTTTCATCTCTTTGGAAAGGAGAGAGCTATTTGTTGAGTAGCTTCTTCAGTGAATAACCGCTTATGTGGAAGAACACATCTTGAATGATCTCAAATCATACAGTCATGCTCACAATCCTTCAGGTTTGAAAGATATTTAGAAAGAGCTTCAGAAATCTACATTACGGTAATTGGTTCTTGCTTCTAGCTTGTCTGTATGTATTTCAACCTGGTGGAACTTGCAATCTTTAAAGTTTATTTTCTGCCCCTTTGTTAATAGGTTGAGGGATGAGATCTGAAGTCTTTCTTGTACATATAAATGTTGGCACGATGTTGTTGCTGACTTACTCCATATTTACTCTTACACCAAACACTTCTTTAGAGTACATGTATGTTTTTCCAATTGTAAATACCAAGTTGCAAAGGGCAGTCTATTTTTTATGCATTTTAAACTTCAGATTTTTTAAATTTTATTAGGGACAGATGATCTTTTGGCATAATGAGTAATCAGAGTAATGTAAATCCATATCATAGCTTGGTTAGAGCAATGAGAGGTGTTTGTCTTTACCAGACATGAGTTCCTTTTATAAAAGTTTTCCTATTGCGTTATATATCTTATTTACAAAATCTCTTTTCTGTGCTAAGCTTTCTTCTGAAAATAATAATGAAAAGGAAGAATTTTGGAATTAAGACTATATATGTTTTTTCCTCTGGTTCTTTCATAATTCTTATCTTCGCCAATGGTGTATTTCGTTAGTTATATAGAGACTGCTCTGTAGAGTATTATCTTGCAATGAATATCTTATAGAAGATCTTTTTTTTTTTTTGCAGTGGAGTTTGAGATTGATGACTCAAGTAATGGTGATGCAGTAGGAAATGTTACTACTTGAGAGGTTGGCAGTAACATAGCTAACAAAGACAAAGTTGACGGCAGATGTTTCGATCCAACAGAAGAACAGCATCAAGATGATAATATGACTCAAGATTCTTCTAGAGTGGACCAAATTCTGTTAGCAATTCCTGCATTATCAGCTGTTAGAACAGTTGATGAGCCCTATATGGGTCACGAGTTCGTATCAAGAGCTGAAGCACACGTGTTTTATAATGCATATGCTACACGTGTTGGATTCGTCATACGTGTAAGTAAGCTGTCACAGATCACTAGATTTTAAACTGAAGGCATTGTTCTCTTTTGTCCCATCCTACAGAGTGTGCATCAGTTGTAGATTACAATTTTAGATAGTTTTACTACCACCCAATAACCTTTGTTGTTTTTTATATGTATTTGATTTTTCTTATTTTAAGCTATGTTATGTAATGTGTACATGTTTGCTGGCAGTCTTGATAATGGAATTAACTATTAGTTGCTTAAAATTACAAGATTTCCCCCCTTTGTTAAATTGAGTGAGGCAATGTTTTCCTGTTTTATATATGGGTGGTGTGTTGTTTTCAAACAAGACAACATTTTTTTTTTTTTGTAATATGATGTTTTTGCATCCGATTGTCTATGTGTGTAGGGAGAGCATATGCTAATTTTTTGGTGATGGATGCATATATCAATGTGCCATACAACAACGTTGGGGGCTGCATATGTCAATGTCCTTGGTTTTGGATTTGTTCTTTTAATTGTATTATTACTAGCAGTAGCATATATTAAATTCACTTAGCTTGAGATAGCAGTAGCATATATTACTAATAGGGCATACATTATAAAAGAAAAATTAATATTTTCATACTAATGGCATGAGATGTCCATCAACGTTTTGTGATGGTGTTCTGAATTTGGTCTTTGGTGTTGACTCACTCTCACTGCACCATTTGACAGGCGTGGAACAAAATCCAAACTAACATAATATTTGAAAAATTGGCATTATATACCACATTAACCGTTAGTAATCGTTAGCTATTAGTTTGAATTATAGTAGTGATATTGAATATAATTTTCCATCCAATCATTTAAGTTACGATGGATGCTGAAACTATCTGCTGCTATTTCCTTATAGCTTTCTTCTTCTAAATGTATTTTACTTTCATTTAAGATGAATAATAATTGGATTAGGTAAATGCACCAAATGAAACTAACTCGGTGAAATACTTTAAAAACAATGAAATGAATGAATTTCAAAAGTCACTTATAATATAAAAAGAATAATATCAATACTTGTAATGTATGAGATTTCCAAGTAGACAGGACCAAGTTGTGATGAGAATCAATGGAAATAATTGCTACTGGCTTTCATCATTCAAGTTGCCATTGACTCCCATCACAACATGCACCAGCAAGCTAGGAGAAATCACTGAAATTTTTAGTAAATTGAGCACTCTTAACAATAAAATAGGGTTTGAAGTTGAGCCCTCCATATATGACTGTGGGGTCTGGTTCTTCTAAAGTAACTAATTCACTTTAGACTGTAAAGAAATAAATATAATCCACTAATTAACAAACCAATGATAAATATTGTTTGTAAGTACATCATAACAAATTGCGAGTTTACGGAGATATTTTTATTTTTCATTTTACACTTTGGTTATTTTAAAAAATCTAAATCTATGACAGTAATATTGTTTATATTTTATTTTAGTGATAGATGTAGGCTAAAACTTTAATCGATATTTAATTTAATTTGTTGCTACAATTATATTTTGCACATCTTCCTAGAGACGACTATTTTTCACGTTATGCTTTTCAATCTTAATCTTCCTTCATTGTAAATTCAAATTTGTTTCTCTCTATTGCCAAATATGCATGCAAAATTAATTCCAATCAACAAAAAGTTTAATATTAATGGGAAATAAAGTTAGTTATGCTTTTCAATCTTAATCTTCCTTCATTGTAAATTCAAATTTGTTTCTCTCTATTGCCAAATATGCATGCAAAATTAATTCCAATCAACAAAAAATTTAATATTAATGGGAAATAAAGTTATTGATCAAAATTTTGAATATTAACAGAAATATAAAGTTATTGATAAAAATATTAAATTTTAACGGAAACATATAGTTCTTGATCAAAATATTAAATATTAACGAGAACATGAAGTTACTGACCAAAATATTTAATATCAACGAGAATATAAAGTTATTGATTGAAATTTTGAATATTAACAGAAACATAAAGTTAATGATAAAAATATTAAATTTTAACGTGAACGTGTAGTTACTTATCAAAATATTTAATATTAACGGAAACATGAAGTTACCGATAAAAATATTTAATATTAACGGGAACGTAAAGTTACTGATCGAAATATTGAATGCTAACGCGAATACGAAGTTATTGATCAAAATTTTGAATATTAAAGAAAACACAAAGTTACTAATCAAAATATTGAATATTAAAGAAAACACGAAATTACTGATCAAATTATTGAATATTAAGGGAAACGTGAAGTTACTGATCAAAATATTGAATATTAACGGAAACATGAAATTATTGATCAAAATATTTAATTTTAACGGGAACACGAAGTTACTGATCAAAATATTGAATATTAACGGGAACATAAAGTTACAGATCAAATATTTAATATTAACGGGAACATGAAATTACTGATCAAAATATTGAATATTAACGGAAACACGAAATTACTGATTAAAATATTGAATATTAACGGGAATACAAAGTTACTGATTAAAATATTGAATATAACAGAAAAATGAAGTTACTGATCAAAATATTAAATATTAACGAAAACATAAAGTTACTGATCAAAATATGAAATATTAACAGAAACATTAATTTACTGCTAAATTTTTTTTCATTAACTATACAATCAATTAATTCTTTTTCAAGTTTTATAAGCAAACACCATTTTTAGACTTCATTTAACCATAAAAATAATATAATGAAAACCATCAAATTTGAGGTCATATAGAAACCAAAAATATCATAACATTTGAAACACTTCTATATAGTTTTTTACCAATAATAAATTATTATTTTAAAATTATTTGTTTCTTTTTAACTTTTATTCAATATTAATTCTTCAATTTTTTTATTATTACATTTTAACTTTATTTATACTTTATATAATATACTAACTATCATTAAACATTTTATTATTAAATTTATTTTCAAATTTTGATTTCTATAAATTTGCTGGTTGGTAATCATTATCTTTTAATCTAAGGACCAGAATACAAAACTAATTTCATTTTGAATTTTCTATAGCCTGATGCATTTTTATGCTATTGACAGTAGGTAGAGATGGTAGAGGTTTTGTGTTTCTTTCTCTTGTGCACAGATGGACGGCGAGAGGCTTTTGTGTCAAAAATGGATTTGCTTTTGTACTAATTATTTAGTTGCAATTGATAATTGTCATTATAATCCGATAAATTTAAGATTTAATGTAGTTAATTAATGTTCCTAACTAAACTCAGGTTCGACCTCCTGGTCATCATGCCGGTGTAAAATATATGATGGGGTTCTGTCTTCACAATAATTGGGAAGTGGCAGCATTGGCAGCTCAGGCTGCATGGGCTAGGAAAGTGCTAATTTTAGATTGGGTAATGTCTTTACTCATCTATCTTTGTAATTATGCAATTTTTTTTAAGGCAGTGTTGTTAGTCAAAATAAAAGAGAGATAAAGAGAGTACGAAGGAGAAACAAGAAAAAATAATAGTAAAAAGAAATAATAATGGTTATGAGAATTTTAAGGAGATGTTAAATAATAACCATTCACCTTTTTTGTTTTATTGGCTATAAAAGCCTTGTATCTTTCATTTGTAATCATCGGAACATAATTTTAATAAATTCTTTCAGTGTAATTGAGTTGTGAAATTTTCATGTGAGGAGAGGTTAATGAATTTATAGATTTCATTTTCATTAAGTTTGTGTGCTTCCGCATTATTTTGTTCTTCCACAAATCTGATAATATGGGGAAATTTTGCGTAGTTTCCTAACAACTAGTATCAGAGCCAGTTGGTTGATTTTTTTTCTAGTAAAGAAATTTTTAGAGACGATCCTGAGGAACTCAGATTTAAGTGGGAGTGATGGTTGCAGACGAAGGAAAAATGAAAATTGAAAAGTTCGATGGTGTGGACTTTAGCTTTTGGAAGATGCAGATTGAAGATTATCTATATCAGAAAAAGCTACATCAACCTCTCATGGAAGCGAAGCCAGATTCGATGAAGGAAGATGAGTGGAACCTTCTCGATAGGAAAGCACTTGGTGTTATCCGATTGTCGTTATCTCGAAATGTTGCTTTTAACATTGCGAAGGAGAAGACAGCCGCTGGTCTTTTGAAGGCTCTTTCAAGCATGTATGAAAAGCCTTCAGCATCAAATAAAGTTCATTTGATGAGACGGTTATTTACACTTCGGATGACAGAAGACACTTCAATTGCACAACATATCAATGAACTCAATATTGTAACAACCCAATTGAGTTCAGTTGGAATTGAGTTTGACGATGAAGTACGAGCATTGATACTTTTGTCTTCCTCACCAGATAGTTGGAGTGCTACTGTCACGGCAGTGAGTAGCTCGTCAGGAAGTAAAAAGATGAAATTTGATGATGTTCGTGATCTGGTTCTCAGTGAAGAGATCAGGCGAAGAGAGTTGGGTGAATCATCATGCTCTTCAGTATTACATACAGAGGAAAGAGGAAGAAATTCAACCAGGGGATATGGACGTGGTAAATCAAAGGACCGGTGATCCAAATCCAGAAACCATCGTAGTTTCAATAATTCGAAGACTATCGAATGTTGGAATTGTGGAAAGAAAGGGCATTACAAAAATCAATTTAGACTCCCACCAAAGAATCAAGAGGTAAAGGATAAAGCAAATGTTGCTTCCACTTCAAGAGGAGAAGACGCGTTGATATGCTCTTTGGAGAATAAGGAAGAGTCTTGGGTGTTAGACTCTGGAGCATCCTTCCATGCCACTTCCCAGAAAGAATTCTTTAATAATTATGTCTCTGGAAACCTCGGTAAAGTTTACCTCGGTAATGAGCAATCATGTGAGATTACAGGTAAAGGTGTAGTGAAGATTAAGTTAGGTGGGTCTGAATGGGAATTGAAAAATGTAAGACATATTCCCGACCTGACAAAGAACTTAATCTCAATAGGCCAGTTGGCTAGTGAAAGCTACACAACAGTTTTTCATGGTGATCAATGGAAGATTTCAAAGGGTGCAATGACAGTTTCTCGCGGTAAAAAGAATGGTACTCTTTACAAGACAGCAGGAGCATGTCACTTGATTGCAGTTGCGACAAATGAAAGTCCCAGTCTATGGCACCAAAGATTGGGCCATATGAGTGAGAAAGGGATGAAGATTATGCACTCAAAAGGAAAACTACCAGGTCTTAAGTCAATAGAAATTGACATGTGTGAAGACTGTATACTTGGAAAGCAGAAGAGAGTCAGCTTTCAGACAAATGGGAGAACCCCAAAGAAGGAAAGGCTTGAGCTTATTCACTCTGATGTTTGGGGTCCAACTACCGTCTCATCTATTGGTGGGAAGAAATACTTCGTGACTTTTATTGATGATCATTCCAGAAAGGTATGGGTATACTTTCTGAAATATAAGTCTGACGTATTTGAGG